TTCTAATTTTGCAATTATTTGATGGCTTATATGTATTCTATAGGTTTATACAACTGTAAGATCACATTCAATTAAGCAATTAAACAGTTTGTATTATTTTAACAAACTTATGGCAATTTTTGCTTAATACTTTCAATTTGAATTGACGCAATAGTTTAGTTGGTTAAATAAAGCAGTAATTGCAAAATTGAAAATTGCATATCTGTCTGAGCCCTAGTTTTAATTTTAATGACAAAAATTATTACCCACGCTGTTTTATAATACTAATTATATATTTTGTACCTTATATTAAAAAACTTCTAAATTTAAATTTTGTTAAAAAATTTCAATTCTTTTAGTATTCTTTCCCTCTACAATGGTTCATTGCTCTCGCCCTATTTAATTATAAGCAACATTAAGAAATAACAATAACTCTTTGAATAGGATTTTGAGATTATTGCAAAATGATTTTGAATCAGCCTTCGAAATTTTTATGTTTAAAGTTCTATAAAAGCAGGAATATTGAAAAAAATTTTATTTTTATTCAAAAATTATATCCTACATTGCTTAAACCAACTTAATACAATTCAATCATTAAGCAACATAAACTTTTGAAAATTTATTGGTTTGAAATTTCTCAATGTTTATGAGAAATTTTTGGGTAATAAGAGAACAATATTTCTAATGATAAGTTTTCATGCCATTCACATCTAAGTAAAAATTCTCTTAGACTTAAGGTGTCTTGTGAGACAAAAATTTTATAGAAAGTCATAAAATACTTTTCTAAATATCATTGTAATTAAGTGTTATAAATATAAATTATATAAGATAAAATAAAAATGTTGAAATTATTTTACAAGTTGTTACTCTTTTACAAGCGGAAACAAATCGTAAAGAGAAAATATAAAATTGAAAGCTTTACCAACTCACATTCATTAAAATTTGTTTTGATTCCAACATCGAAATTGAACAGAATATTATATAATATATAAATTTATAATCACATATTATAGCTATCTAAAGCTACATATAATACAGATTTTACTTTATTATTTTAAATCAACCAAAATTTCATTATCCTTTAACTTTAAACCGATATCCGAAATAAATTTTATTCAAATGAAATGATCAATTTTTCATCCGTAATTTACTCTACAAGCGGGTAATAAATTTTTTTTTTTATAAAGCAACGATAGAATAAAGTATGTACATATATGCATACCCTATACAGAGGAAACAAAAATTTAGCAATAACACCTAATAAAATTTATAACACCTAGACAAGTCATAATTTTTAATAACAATTTCACATTTATTTTACGTTTGTATGTTTATTTTTTATCTATACAAAATTAATATGGTACGAGAAAATATTTCTTACACAAACATTTAAAAAGTATATTATTATTTTTATACAAAAATATACAAAAAAATATATGTAAGAAACAATCGAGGACTAAATTTATGTTCTCCTGGTAATAAAACCTCCAAAATATTGCAAAAAAACGAAAACCAGAAAAACAAAAAAAAAGGAGTAAAGAAAACACTGATTTAATAAGTAAAATTTTTTCAATACACATTACATAAATTATGAAATTTTATATTTATAGTACACTTTTAGGAGAATGTATACGTGGATATCGTAAACGAATATAGTACACATAATCTTTTGGGCCGTTTCAACAATATAAAAAACAAATTTAGATAACTTTATAAAACAAAATCAAAAAATAGAACAAATAAACAAAAGCAGAACAAAAAGCAGAGTCTTAAATCTTTTATAATACGATTCAGCATCATCGGATCTGTCTATAATATAAAATGTAATATTATAACAGTGATGTAGAATATAAAAGGAAAATTTCAAAGCGGGTATAATATGAAGAAAAACAGGAGAAATTTATTAAAAAAGGAAAAAATATTTACGTTGTATGAACGCAAATTACAATAAAAAAAAATAAAACAGAAAAAGACACTGAAAGAGAGAGATAAAACGAGAATAGAAATTGGAACATTTTCTTGTTGTCATTATTATATTGTAAGAATAATGTAGGCACCATGTCTATAATCCAGTATATAAAGGATGAGTTTTAAGTAAATGTGTGTGCGTATATATGAATTGTGCCCTAAATAATTTTATTTATATTTGTCCTTTAGATCTTTTATACTCACATACATACACATACAATAGAAAATTAGAAAAAAATTTTTTATTTTATCTTTAGTTATTTTTATTTTTTGAATTTTTTTTTTATTATCGATGATTTCAAAAGCATTTCCGCTGTGTTCGCATACAAAATTTATTGTGCTCAGCAAGAGAGAAGATTTTAGTTACTGCATTTTATTTTTGTTTATAGTACCCAATGTTACGCCTAAGTTTTATAATTAATTTTTATTTTTTTAAAATATTGAATCTACAACTTATTTGTTATATTTTTCGCGTTAAGAATGTGCAATATAATTTTTGTGTCATATTGTAAATGATAGAAATTCAAATTCATTCGAATAGAAGAATTTCGGATAGATTGAAACTATTTCGGAAAGAATTTAAATAATATTAAAACTTATGAAAAATTTTATTGATATTCAGGTGAAAAATTGGAAAATCATGGTAGTTTTTGCAGTTATATTATAATAAATTTTGCCGTATAGGGAAATTTTGGCTCATTAACAAAATAATTAGATTTGAGGTATAAAGCACTCAATTACATATGTAGATTTTGAATGATAACATTAAAAACATAAATAATAACTATATTCGAAACAGTTTTAGCTGTTACGGTTTTAAAAAATATTAACCTTAAAGTTTGAAACTATTCAATTTTAACACAATTTTAAAATTTCTCTCTTCCTTTATAATTCTTAACATTAAAAAAATAGATTATAAAAACTATTAAAATGAATATATGGGAAAAATTATTATTTTAAAATTTTTTTTTATGATGTTGGTTTAAAAAATGGAACTAACATAAATGTGCTAAAGAGACATCACGTACCTACTTTTATGTTACCATGTTAACATAAAAATATTTTTCGAAAGGATTAAATATAGTAAAAACTCTTAAAAAGCATACAAAGCATATACGTTACATTTATATCTATGTAATTAAGGAATATATATAGACCAAAGTAATCGCAATGAAAAGAGAGAAAGAAGCAAGAAGAAATAAAATATAAAAAGTTTTTATTTGTCGCCCTAAATGAACGGTAAAATGAACAAAACGAGATTCAGCCTATATAAATCCTTTTTTTGTTCTTTCATCCGCTTTTGTTTTTATTTTCCTTACAATTCTGATTTTGTTCTTTATATTCCTTTTTTATGATCTTTATGTAATGTAAAAAAAAAGCAACTTTTCTTTTTTATTTTCGTTTTTTTTTTACATTCATAAGTTTCTATGTATGTTAAATGACAGCCTTTTTAAAGGTGATATAACAGCTTAACGAGAAAATTTTGTATAAAGAATTCGTAGGTATGTATGTGTAAGAATAGAGCTCACGTACGGTTGAAATTATAAGATTATCGGCGTAAACATATGCACATTTTGTATATTATATATTCATTGTATATATACATTTATGTAAGTATAACATATTATGATGTATATATGAGTAACATATTGCACCTATAAAATTTTCGATTAAGGCAACACAAACACCTTGTTTCTAAAAACAAATCCTTAAGGATTATTTCATAATAGTGATATGTAAATACATAATATTTGTGTTCACGTACAAATATCTTTGCGTATATAAGAGTACATAGTGTATTAATCTTTACTCTTAATATAATTTATGCATATGTTATCGGTTGTATGTTCACTGAATTTATAACTGCTTTATTTATATATCACGTGTTCTCGGTGTTTTCTTCTGTTTTTGTTGCTTTAGGTCGTAAATTTTGTTTGATTTTAGTACGTGCATTTTATATTTATAAGTATAAACATATTATAAAATCAAGAGTAGGTGAAAAATTTTATACACATATTGATATTTACAATAATTATATGTATGTACATAAGTATGTATATAAATTAATAATCGTAGAATCGGGTGCTTTAATACACCTATTTCGTTCTATAGAAAACTGAAATCTATTCTGTTTTTAACATAAGAAAGAATGAAAAGAAAAATAAAAATTAAGAACGTGATTTTATTTCTCAGTTGCTCTTTTTTTTCTGCTCTTATTAAAGGGCACTAGTATAGAATTTAAGAAATATTGTACTTGGCGAATACAATTTAATTTATATATATAATAATGTTATATAGAAGTGTAACGAGATTATTAAAGAAGCATTATTATTACTTTGAAGCGAAATTATATAATATTAAAATATATTTAAAATTTATGATTATATGCATATTATGTGTGCAATTATAATAATGAATAATGGGAAAATAAAAAGGAATCTATTGACCTAAAAAAAAGTTAAGTGCTACAAATATATATTATATAAAAGTAAGTTGTTATATTGCGCGTAGGAAATCGTAAATTTTTGAATGCATTTGTAAAAAGGATAAGAATGCATTTAAATATAATTTTCATATTAAAAACAAAAGCCATTTTAATTCGAAAAAAATATATTTTAGAAAATTGCATACATACAGGGGCTGTCATTAATAGTATTATTTCCAGTTAAGAACTATTTGACCTTTTAATAAATTAATAATAATGTACACTCAAAAAAAATAATGTAATAATGTGGAAAAATTGTATTTTCGAATGTAAAAGAAATTTTTATTTTCTGAAAGTAGGAATTTATTTATAAGAAAATTTTTAAAATTTTCTATATTTAAAAACTAAGTTATCCGCTACAGTAGTAGGAAAAATTTGTTTTAGAGTATAACTTCAAAGTATAAATTAAAGGAAAAAGTAGAGAGGAAGTTTTTCAAAACCAACCCCTTTTAACATTAAAAAAAATATTTTTTTTAAGTAAAATATTTAAAAATAAAAATCTGATTATAGTTTTAAATATTCGCTCCGATTACTTAATAATTTCATTGATAAAATTAAATTTACTTACAAATTGAAATGTACATCAGCCATATTTGGTCTATGTTTAAGTGCTTCTAACAATACTTCTTCAGCTTCAGCATATCTTCCCTGTGAACTAAGGACACTTCCTAAATTTCCTAGAGCTGTTAAAATAAAATTGTAAAATTTTTAATTTTATTGAATACCAATTCTTTTACCTTTTGGTGGATTAACCCTTATTGCACTCCTATATAAACTTTCTTCATCATGCCAATCATAATTTCTATTCCATGTTCTTATACTAAGTGCACTCAATACCATTACCATACATAGTATAGCAATTAATTTCTTTCTACAATTATCTACAATTAATTCCATTAGTTTACTAACACCAAAACCAACTAGTAAACAATAACCAACACTAGGTAAATATAGAAGACGTTCAGCAACAACAAAACCAACATAAAAAAATAAATTTGTTGCTGGTAGAAATGGAAGCGTTAAAAAAGCTATTGACATTATTATTATAATACTATTGATATTTTGTTGTGAAATTTTTGATTCTAATAGTAAGCTATTAGATGGCGTTAAATTAATATATTTTGTTAACGCTTTAATATAATTTGATAAATATGCTGTTGTTGTATTAAAAATATCTGTATCATTTATAAAAAAACTAGTACAACTGCTACATGAACTAATTGTACTACTACAACTGCTATTTGATGTATTACTACTTGTAGTACTATTACTACAGCTACTACTGCTACGACTGCTACGTGGTGTTAATCGACATGGATTATTATTCATATCATCACGATGTTTATCAAGTTTTGATCTTACAGCTGCAGCAACAACAGAAACAGCTGAAGATGATACATTTTCTAAACTGTTATTAATTGTTGATGTTGGTGTTGTTCTTGATCTTATTGTTCTATTTGTTGTTATATTTTCATTTGATGAGCCTGATAATGGTATTGGCGTACAACTTTTACGAAAACAATTTTGTACAATTTCTTGGTTGGTCTTTTGCTCTAAATAATTTGAACTAGAATGACAGCGACATGTTATTTCATTGGAATAAAATGTTGTTGTATTTGTATTTAATGATGATGTATGAGGAGTCTTTTGACTTCCAATAGTAAATGAATTTATAAGTACCGGCATCATTACATTATTATTATTATTAATTTGGCGACAAAAGTTTGTATGCCGTACATCTTGTTTACATGTACCGCACATTAAAAAATCAATATTTTTATTTCGATTACAATTGTTATTGTTATTATTATTGTTGTTGTTATTATTGTTATTATGATTTAGAAAGGTTGTTATGGGGGCTGTTGTTTCTGCTGTTCCACCAATTTTTGTATTTGACAACAGTAAAGAATTTGGTATTGATGCTAAAACATTAACATTTTGATTTATGATATTTGTTCCTGTTGCTGTTGTTGTTTGTGTTGTATATTTTCTTTTTATTCTTGATTTTCTCTGTTGTATTTGATTTTGATGGTAATGATTTTGATGTTGTTGTTCTCGTTGATCGTTATGCTCAATAACATTTTGATTATAATGATTATTTTGCTGTCTAAGTACCATAATTTCCGGTGATTTTTGTTCTGTAGACAATATTTGATGTTGGCTTTGTAATTGTTGTTGTCCATAATATTTATTTGATTTCTTATTATTATTATTACAGTAATAAGATGATTTCGATGTTTTTGATAATAATAATGTACCTGATGTTGATGATGATGATGATGATGATATAGATGTTGAAGATGATGAAGATATTGTTGATGACGATGACATTAAAGATTTTTTCATTAAAATTAAACTTTTACTAGAATTTTTTCCTAAATTTTTTGTTCCCATTGTCGCTAATAAATTTTGAAAACATTTCCATAATATAACTACAATTATTGTATAAAAACTTAAACTAAATAAATTCCTGGAATCCCATATTGTTGTAATTTTGGGTATTGCATCCATACCCCAATCAAAACTTAATATATTCGGATATAATAATAATTTGAAATTAAATATTGGCAAATAAAGAAATGTTAAGAAACGTGTCCATACAGAATTTGTTTTAGCTATTGGATTATCAGCTGTTGAAAATGAATATTGTGGTCCATTTGATATTGTAGTTAAACGAATATAGACAATAGTTGCTAAAGATGCTGTTATTATACTAAGTGTACGATACCGATTCTGAAATAAGAATGGCGTTTTACTAACAGCATAATTAAATAATTTAAAATATATCACGAATTATTTTTAAAAATTCGTTAATAAAAGTTATAAAACTTTTCATAAAAAATAAATTGCTCCACTAAAATTTAAAAATTTTATCTTATGTTTTCTTGTTTACATGAAATTGTTTCAAAATTTCACTATTTTTTAACCTACAGAAATATTAAATTAAATTTTTTGTTTAATGTTTCTGTAGGTTAAAATTATTACAAAATTCACACATATTTTCATAGCTGGAAGCAATCAGTTTTTTTTATTGTTTAAAAGTTTCTAAAACCAATGAAAGCAATTATTTAACACGAAATTTTCAATTAAAATAAAATTATTCAGCTAAAATTTTTCTTTTGTGATTATTTTAATTTGCAAAATTTATATTATTATTTATGAATATTTATGACGTTTTTATGTATATATACATATACATGTTTTTTACTAATATATTATTATTAGTTACAAATTCCATTTGTAAAACTAAAATAGACATTTTATACAAGACCGATTCAGTTAAAATTATTGAGTTTAAAAAGTAAAAATTTTGCACAGATTATTATTAAAATTTTATAAGGATTATATTCTTGGAACCTGTCATAGAATGTAAAATGGTTGCTCAAATTCAAAACTATTTAATCATTTCTAAATTCAATATATTTACATATATATATATGTAAAAAATTATTAAATTATTTTAAATTATTTTACCTTATCATTGAATCCACAGCATCCTCTAGCAATATCAAATATTGCACATATCATCAATGCACTTATTGCTGTCTCCTTAAATAATAATGCACATACAGCTAATATTATTGTTAAACTTAATGCAAACCATTGTCTACTATCATTACGTTCACGCCATATTAAATGTTTTAAAAATGTTAAATATGTTAATAAATATAATATACATGCAGCTAAATCAGCACGTCCAACAATACCAGCAACAGTTTCAGTATGAATTGGATGTGCAGCAAATAATGTACCAGTTATCCATACACCATAATTTGATGATAAAAAATGTCTTGCTAATTTAACAACTAAACCAGTTGCAAGGCAATGCATTAAATTATTTATTAAATGATAACCCCATGGTGTATAACCTCCCATAAGATAATTAAATTTAAAACTAAGGACACATAATGGTCGATATGAACCATGTGAACCGGAATCACTTAATGGTGTTCCCCAGTAATCATTTTGAAAGGCTTGATGCCATGGTGTTTTTCCAGATACATCTGTATTACCCAAAATTGCACGCCTGTAAGTAAAAAAAATTTATTTTTATAAGAAATTTTTCAAATATTTTGTTTATCAAATAAATAAAATTTAAATTTATTTTTTTGGGAATTTTTCATAGTTTGGTGTACGGTAAGATCTGGTTATAAAATAGGATTAAAATAAAACAAATAATTATTTCTAAAAATATGTTTTTTTGGATTAAATCTTAGAGCTAGAAAATAAATTAGTTTTTCATTTAATTTTACTATTCATTTTCCCACCAAACGTTAAATCTCAAGAGGATGCAACAACAACAAGCAAGAGCAAACACTTAATTTAAAAAAAAATTTTGGTGAAAACAGGATTTGAATGATGCAATGTTGCTTAACTTTAAAAAGTTCTCAAATTAATTTGCTTTCACTCCTAATATTCACAAAATTTCGAATTAATTTTTGAAATGATATTAAAATGCTCGCTTTTCATTCATACTGTTATTTAGTATGTTAAAAAGTTAGTAATTTTCTTGAGTAAAATACGAGTATTATGCAGTAAGAATTCGCAAATAAAAAATACTGCAACATTTAAAGTTTATCTTTTATGTTTGTTCCAAATTTTGGAAAAAATATTACAAATAGTAGAGAATTCAACGTTGTCTTTGTCAATGCTGTTTTAATTTAATACTCTATTGTAAGTGTTATGAAGAAGCAAATTTTGAGTATGTTCTGCAAATAAAAATTTTACATCATGGATTTAGGAAACTAAATGCAATATTTAATTTTATTTTCTGTTAAATGCCTTAGTGTTGATAAAGTAGAAATTAAGTTTCAAATGAAGAATAACATGTAAAGACAAAGTTTTTTTTTCTGGATGCAAAAATAATTTAGAAAATGTAAGCGAATTAAAAGTTTTTTTTTTGATTTTCACATTACTCTTGTCTTCGTTATTTTCACATTTTTCTTATGAAATGAAAAATCTACTATCATTATAAAAAGTCTATGAAAAAAATAATCTAAAAAAAAGAAGACTAAGTGCAATAAACTCATGGTATAACATTGTTGAAAGTAGAAGTTGTTCCAATTTAGAAAAATTTAGTACATGCTCCATATTGAACAATCCAATGCTAATTGAATTAATCTAGAGTAATTGAAATTTTTACATAATCGTTTACTGTTTTCTTACGATTTCATACAAGTGCATGGGGATAAAATCGGGAAGACAATAATTAAGCTGATGGATTATCAATTTTGAAAAATTAATGATGATTGATCAAAGCACGATATCTAGTTATTGATATTATAAAGTTAATTGGTATTTAATAGGCAATACTGATGTCTGTAAAATCTGTAATATGTGTACTTTGTTCGTCATTTGTATATACACGCCTACAAAAATTTTTTACCGAATTGAATTAAAAATTGGCTAAAATAAGTTTTGAACAGCTCAATTTTTTATATAATGGTATCTACTTATAAGAAATTTAATTTGTGAAGTGGAATGATGACTAATCACCTTAATTGTATTTTAAGCATAAGATTTTACTTCGATTAGTTTTGAATACTTCGCAAAGATACCAAGTAACGTTTGCATTATGACAAGCTGAAATTAATTTATCAACAAAGGATACAAAATTAATCTGATATTTCAACTGATGATACACTCTAGATTTTGAAAACTAATAATTTCGAAATACAACATTAAAGAGAGTAGTATAAAAGCAGTGAAAGACTTAAGTATTTAAAGTTATGCAATTTCCTTTTTCTTTGATGTAGGATTTGATATAAGGGATGTGTAGCAGATTTTAATTAGAAGAATTCATAAATTGCAAGTTTTATACTAATTATTTTTTTACTTAACAATTAGAATGGGAACATTAACAACTTGGATTTTGGGAACAGAACAAAAAATGAAAATAGTTTAGGTAAATGCTATTTTTTTTTTAGTAGGTGTAGTAGACAACTTTTTAACAAATGTTATGAATCTAAATGGTAGTTACTTTTTTTGTTTTTTCTACGATTTAAAAAGTCTTTCTTCTCTATTTGTTTAACTTGTATAACATCAAAGAGGTTTTAATCTTTTTTTTATGCCAAAAAGTAATTTCACTTAATTTTAAGTTTAAGCTTAATAGTAATTAATTTGTTTCAAGAATCTTTTGAATACTTGAAATTGTTGTAAGAAATTTTTAAATTAATGAAGCGAATATGAAAATAATGTCGCGGTATAAGCAACTGTCGTAGTTTTTGTTAAAATTTTGAAAAAAAGAAAAAAATGTTAAAAGTTACAAAGTAATTCTTTTGATTATCTTAGCTTCTTAGTTTTTTTAAGTTTTAAAATTTTGCATATATTTAGGTTTTTTTTGTGTTTTTCACTTTGAAAATAAAAACGTAAAATAAGCGACTTAAGCCAAAGAAAAGGATAAATAGAAAGGTTTTCATTTTATTCTTAAATAGCAAAAATTTTTAATGAATGCCTGTTTTGAAGATCTTTTTTTTTATTGTTCATTTGAAACCTCTATCTTTTTCGGAACGGAAGTTATAATCAAAAAAACTGGGATAAGTAGAAATTTCGTGAAAATTCCTTAAAATCCCTGTATCTCGGAAACCCTTGAGATTTCGCACCGGAACAAAAATTTTAACCATTTTCGATCCTTTAACTAATGGTATATGTTGTTGTATACCTTTTTGAATAACCCTGTATATAGCAGATAATAGCAGTAAGTCCGTAAAGTTTCGATCATTGTTTTTAAAAATATTCATGAAAACCATGCAGAAATCTGTACAATTGACTACAAAATTTATTTTGTTATTATATCGTGGTGAGACATATCTGTAAAGTTTCTATAGGTTAGTTTCACATAGGTGCGAGTAATTGCTTTACAACAATAAAAGTTGCAGTGTATAATTCAATCGGTTTGTACCGACTGATATTACTAAAACAGCCTATTTAAACGTGCTGTACTTCAGAGTAAGCTGAATTTTTTTACCAAAATTTCTATCTAATTGAATTTTATAAAATATTGACATAGTACCAAGATTCAATTGCAATAATTTCACGTAAATTTTACGGTAAATAAAACCTGATTATTTTATATTTACGTAAAATAAAACTATTAACTTTTAATTGCATAAAGCAAAATATTAATCGTATATTTTAGACCTCCTGATTGGAAAAAAACCTAAAAAAATTTTCACTTAGAGGAAAAAATTTATATCCAAATGTAAACAGAATAGAAAAACAGAAATAGAAAGTTAAAACCTTATTACTCTTGTGAATTCGCATTGAAAATATAAAAAAATGCATTATGCAAGCATATACGATTTTAAAACTATTTTAAATCAACTTCAAAGATTTAAATATATACAAACAAAGAATATTTTACATTTTCCTGGTAAAAAAAAAGATTAAACAACAATACAATTTAAAAAAAAAATCACATTGAAAATATAAAAAGAAAATAAAATTTAAGAGTTCTATAAAATCCATTAAAACCGATAGAAGATTAAAAATGTATAAAAGAACTCAGGATCAATTGAATAAAAATATCATGCTTGCAATAATCTCAGGCTTCCTAAAATTATATAGAGAACATGTGATTGTGCATTATGTACATAATATATATATATATATATATATATATATATAGATATTATATTGTGTAATAGTAAAATTAGGGCATCCTTGTTAAATCCCGATAAGAAAGATTAAAAATATAGATTTTTTTATGTATGTTAAGATGTTTGTATATATTTCTGTTTAAATTCACATAATAATCTATACATCATAGGGTACAGAAAACTATTGTTATTTTTTCATTTCAAATACAGGATGTTAAAAATTTAGCAAAATAATATTATATGAGGTTTTTTTTGAAGATATTAAAAAAATTATTGTTCAAATTTTTATGAAATATTTGAACGAAATGTGGGATTGGTTTGCATAAAACTTCAAATCAGTTTCCTTTAACCTATCATCGCATTAATAACATCTGAATTTTCTTCAACATCACCGACGAGACAAGAGTTTTATCAAAGTTACTTCAATTTCTTCTAAATGTATACAGGTAATCGGCCCTATTACATTTGAAATAAGCGTATATGTGTAAAATTGCTAAATTGCTAATTTATCATATAACTTCAAAAATCACCCTATTTAGAGAAAAATATAAATATAAACAAATGTTTGCTTTTTACTAGCTGAGATTCATTACTATTTGGATTTGAATGTATGTGTAGTAGGGATATTATATAAAAAATAACATTTGTATGTGTGTATGTACGTACGTATTTTATTATGCACATGAATATATGTATTACATGAACGTATGTGAGTTTATGTATCTATTAGTTTTATATTTGTATATTCGAATATAAATATTTTTAAAAAATATAGAGGAAAAAAAATCAATATTTCCATATATACCTACACCATTTATGGATAAAAAAGCACGATATAAAAAGAGTATTGAATAGAAACTTTGATAATAACTAGTATCTTCATCATTAGGACCAACAGTTTGTATAATAAAAGAGAAATCAATTGAATACCAATTTACTTATAGTACATATATATAAATCAAATATACATAGCAATATACTTATCAAGGTATGAGTATATGTATTTTACAATATGCATAAAGTAAGATTTAAAAAAAAACGCAAATTTATACAAAATATAAGAACAATCTTTTATACAAATATGTAAGACCCTTTTAATGTATAATAGGTTTGTTGAGAAAAATATCAAATTTAAATTTTAATGATTTAAGGATTTTTTTTTATGAAATACAAGTTCAATTAAGGAAGTTTAATTACAAAATTTAAAGTAAACATGAAAGATCCATGCAGCTACTCTTTTTCAGATTCAATTCTGTGAAAATTTTCCAATACTAGACCCAATATTAGGCCAATATTTTATTAATTCTATTGATAGCATACTGAATATTGTTAACAGAAATTGTTTGTAAATTATCAAATCTTCAAAGTCTTACGTCAAAGCTCAGTTAGCTTATTACTCGCTAAAAATCTTTTTCAAATATCTCAAATG